TGCACATTCTTAGCTTATTTTCCTTTTTGGGTACCACTACTACGTTGGCCAGCCATTCGGGGTACTTTACCTCTCTAATGGACCTTATTTTTAGGAGTTTTGTTACCTCATCCTTGATGAATGTGTGTTTTATCTTGGACTAGTTTCTTCTTTTTTGCTTCACCGGTTTAAACCTAGGGTCGACACTCAGTCGGTGGGAGGTTATTTCCGGCGGGATACCTATCATATCTAAGTGGGACCAAGAGAAACAGTCGATATTATCAATAAGAAATTGAATGAATTTTTTCCTGAGTTCGGGGGTTAATCCCGTTCCCAGGTATACATTATGATCGGGGAGGTGTTCGATCAAAACAGCTTGTTCTAGATGTTCAATTGTCGATTTCGTTGCATCCGACTCTTCGAGGGCAACAAAAGTTTGAGGAGCGAGGAAATCTTCTTCGTCGTCCTCGGGGGTCTGTATGCTCCTAAACACATCATAGGTCGAGAGTCCGGGGGTCGGCTCCTCCTGGTATACCCCGAATATTTCTTTTGCCACATGCTGTTCTCCGTATATGGTTGTTATGCCATCCTTTGTCGAAAATTTAATCATCTGGTGCAGAGTTGACGGTACTGCCCTCAGGCTGTGTATCCACAGCCTGCCAAGCAAAGTGTTATACCTTATGTCGTCATTGATGACTTGAAACTTAGTGTTCTGAACCGTGCCGTACGTGTCGACTGGAAGGGTGATTTCTCCTTTTGTTACTTCGGCGGTCATGTTAAAGCCATGGAGGACCCAGGAGGCGGGTATGATTCGATCGAGAAAGCCAATATGTTATACTACCCCTGACATGATTACGTGGGCAGAGCTGCCTAGATCCACAAGCACACATTTAACCTGAATGTTGTTTAAACGAAATAAGATTACCAGCGCGTCGTTGTGTGGATCTTCCAAGGTATCAAGATCCTCCTTGCTGAATGGGAGGGTGTCTTTGGCCAAGCAGTCTCGGATCATCCCTTCCATTGCGGCGGATATTATTTTCCGCTTGATCATGGACCCTTGGGGAATGTCGGTCCCTCCAATAATCATAAGAATGACATGCTGAGGAATCTCTTTTTAAGCCCAAGTTGGATTTTGCCAGGTTTCCCGAAGAACTTTTCGGTGCGCTTTCTGGTGAATGTGAGGAGAGATGCCAATGCATTGGGAGTCGCATAAGATCGTACCATTGGAGGTCGGCTTCGGTGTGTTCACAGGGTTCCGTGGTGGTATACCGACACCTGGAACAACAACACCATTCTCTCCTCGATTCTCGAGGTAGTTGTTTTCATCTCTATTTACTAAGTTAGGCATTTCAACCTGAAATTTGAAGATCTTGGACAAGAACAGGTGTGAAAGATAACTTGCATTATGTGATGAAACCAGCAAAAAAATAATCACTATTATTTTTAGCCCCACGATGGGCTCCAAACTATTTACCGTAAAAATGGTAATAACAATTAAATTTTATTATGGGACTCTAAAAATACGTGACATATTTTTATGCTAGTTGTTAAGCAGTTGATGCTATATATGTGATACTTAGAAACGAAATAAGAGTTAAGGATAAGATGATAACCAAACCGATAGGTTAACAATCAGGGCCTCGAGCTTGTCGATTCGGGGGCCTCGAGGTCGATTCCGGAGCTCGGTCGTGAGTTGTTGAAGGTGATCGAGCTATGACTAATAGTTATAATAAAATCAATGAAGGCTCTTTATGACCAATGATAACCAATAAATGATGAACAATAAAGAAGATAGTAAATGGAACTAATAATCTCAAGAGAGTATGTTAGAAAGCAGAGAGAATGTTCTTATTTATTTAGTATGGAGCAATCTGTTACATCTCGCGATTTTCGTACGTTAAAATTTTATTTTCAGTTAACCGATGTAGACTTGGGGACGAGATCATCTTGACGTTAACGTACTTACGTTATTTATAACAAGAGATAAATAAGTGTTATGAAGGTATGCGGATTAAAGAAACGAGTTACTTTGAAAGTGGCCAATTTGAAATAAAATACGGGTCGAGCGATAATATCCGATAATTATGAACTAGTACCATGGAAGGTACCATATGACCACGATAGTATAATGTATAAAGTATATATAAAGTATATTAAAAATAAGTTGAATTTTAAGTAATTTGGGGTAATTTTTAAATTATGCAGGTAATTGATTAATTATTGGGTAATAAAACATTACCCGATTAACTAATAAGTGGGTAAAAACTTAATAATCACTCCCCAAACACGTGGCAAGAATCCACCATGCCAAGAATGTGACTAAGAAGTCACTTATGCCTAGGTGGCAACCTAGGCATAAATGAAAAATGTTGACTAACCAATTATCTGCCAAGATTCAATATGAATCAAAGGAATTCAATGTTATTATTTCAATTCTTAAGAAGAACCAAAAACATTTCCTCACAATTTCAAGGAAACCAAACTTTTTTATTTCGTTCCAAAATTTTAGGAACCGGAAAATATTTCCGTCCAAGAATTTCTAAGGAGCAAAGGCAAATTTTGTTCAATCAACGCAGGTTTTCCAATGAAATATTATACGTAGTATTCCTTACTTCAGGTATGTTAAGGCCCTCCCTTCTTTCTTTTGGCATGATCCAAATTATACTGAAGAAACGATCAAACACATACTTTCCATAAATTACTCTATTCATAGAAATAGTAGGGGTGTCTACATTCTTGATTCCCCATGAAAAATATTATTATCTTTTGTTCACGGGTCTCAGAAAAATATGTATTTAATAAAGTTTATTTGGAAAAGCATTTCTGCTATATGTGTATGTAAAGTTTATGGGATAAAGTTCCTTTTAATCACTCATTATGACGTCAACAATGGAAATAAGTTCCTTGATCACTATATTAGCGCTTTCTGTATTCGTATAAGAACTTGTGTAACCTTCTTTGAAAAATGTTTGCTTATTCGTTGTAATGTACTGTTAGTCTGCCATGGTCATACATAGCTCCTCGTTTTATATGTTGAGTTAAAATGTAGAATAATAATACAGGTACATTAGCTATACGATGATGTAAAAGTACCTGAAGACAAAAATGACCTTTAAAATAAGTAATTGGTATATTTCATAATTTCATGCATTTATATATGTATATTAACCCAAGACCAGACGGCATTATATACGCGTATATATATTTATATGGGATATGGAAAAAAGTTACGGCATTATATACGCACCACCACCTGATCAGCTGGTATACGTTGATGATTTGCCCACAGTGGCCGAGATGATATGACGGGATGCCCTCAGATGTGTGATGATGTTATGGCATTATATGTATATGTGATATGGAAAAGGTTATGGCGTTATATACAAACCACCACCTGATCAACTAGTATATGTTGATAATATTGCCCACAGTGGCCGAGATAATATGATGGGATGCCCTCAGTTGCTTGATGATATTATGTACACCCATACCTATGCATGACACGACATTTATACGCACGTGCATGACATTATAAACGTTTCAGAATTTACAAAGTTATTTAGATTTAAAGATGTGTTTCCTTAATTCATGTTTCATCTATGCCTTTTACGTACTAATTTTCATGCCTTACATACTTAGTACATTTTTTGTACTGACACCCTATTTCACGGGGCCTGAGTTTCATGCCCGCAGGTGCAGGTAAACAAGATGACGGTCCCTCTTCTTAGGATCCCTGACCAGCGAGAGTTGGTGTGCTCCATTTAATCCGGAGCTGGTTTTGATTTTTGTACGATACGTTTGTGAATATATATATATATGTGTGTGTGTGTGTGTGTGAGAGAGTGTATTTCTATGATGTGGCTCAGTCCCCTTTTTGTATAGTTATGTTTCTGTTAGGGGTCTGTGCAAAATATGTCTAGATGGGCTGTATGTGGCCTTGTCGGCTTTCAGTTTTGGATGTATAGTTGTCTATAGTAGCCTTGCCGGCTCGCCCACTGTATTCTGCATGTAAACGTACATATGCCTTGATGGCAGGTTTCCTTCACGAATGATATTTTCGTAATGCAGCAGATGTTATTCAGGTTCATATCTTCGACGCATGCGTAGGGGTGTTTGACAGGTAGGGCTCATGCACTCGTCGCGGCCCATCGATTTGGGTCGTGACAAAAATTTGTATCAGAGCGGTTCTGTCCTAGGGTTGTCTACAGACCGTGTCTAGTAGAGTCTTGTTTATGGGTTTGTTGTGAACCACACTTATAAACAGGAGGCTACAGGACATATAGGATGTTAGCCTCTCTTCATATCTTAGATTGTGCGATATAAGAATTCATGTTCCTAACGATGTGTTACGTTTTCAGTGATGCCTCCGAAGGCTACAACCTCTATCACGAGTCAGAAGGCTATGAAGGTGTTAGAAAGAGAGATACGTTATACTATGGATTCATACCCATCGGAGATCATGGGTTCTATTAAGGAGGATCCATCCGAGGATCCATATGAGTCATCCATTCGAGATGTTTCGACCACTCCGACGGTAGATGGGGTGAGAGGAGTTCCGACCTCACCAAAGCCCTTATTTCACATCCCATTGATCAGGGTATGAGGGGAGTAGTGCATGGATTGGCACAGCCAGGATTCCCTCAGGCTCAAAACTATGTCAAGGTATTTGCGGACACCAGCTCTTCTGAGATTTCGGATAGTCCACAGTCTTGGGAGTCCATCAATCAAGGTTCGTTGGTGTATGTTATGGGATACACAGAGGAAGAGGATAGTAGTCGGGCCAAGAGGAGGAAGGTAACTGATAAGAACATGAAGATTCCACTTCAAAGTGTGTCCAATCGAGGTTCTTATATAGGACTAGGCAAAGACTCTCTACTATAGATGTCACACCCCATGCCTAGGGGCGAGACTGGCACTCAGTGCCTCAACTATCCTTGCGTATCACCTGTGACTCAGAGACTTTGAACATTTAATGTCATATTCTTTGCCATAGGCTGCAAGAAAATGTACGATGTAAAATATAAAACTGAATAGAGACTAACGTTGACTAACCATCAACATAAGGCTGGGCCGGCAAGGCCGTCATATTTACTACAACTGACAAGCCAACAAAATATACGTACGGGGACTACCAGTCCAACATACTGCATTAACTGACAGGACATATCTACAAGCCTCTAATGATAGATGTACTATGATCGGAACAGGGCCCCGACCTACCCATAACCTATCTACATATATACACAAGATACACACCCCACTGCTAGCCCCGGTAACTCCGAGAGAAGGGGAGCTTACCGATAAAGTTGATCTCCGGAAACACCTACTGAGGAGGTCTACCTGTCTGTCTGTCTGACCCTGCATGCATGAAATGCAGCATCCCTAGAAAGGGACGTCAGTACGAAATAATGTACCGAGTATGTAAGGCAATATACTGAAAGCTGAAACTGAACTGATAATATAACAACTTAGAACAACTAGGAGTCTAATAAAGCTCGAGGATATGCTCATCTCATAATACTGACTCAATTCTCTCAATATAGTAAGTAAAATAGCTGTCCGGCCCTATAAGGCTCGGTATACATATATATCTGCTCTGTCATAGTAGGCTCGCTCATAAGCGCTCGGCCACAGTAGGATCGTCATATAACTTACCATGTGATCAGAGGTTGCCCAATAGGGGCCTGCCCATCGATTATAGCTCGATGGTAATGAAAATACTTTTAATACTGTATATATGTAACTTCTCTGCTCTCTTAACTGGAAGAAGGAAATACTCAACTGAATATGAAATCCCGATAAGGAGAATATTATAACTTACAACACAAGAAAAACATATTCAATTTGCAAGACTAGCAAAATATACGTAAATTCAGGGATATGAATTTTTCTCTATGCCTCTACTTTACCCATTATTAATGTTGACTCCTACAGTACATTATTATGTCCTATTGTTTCATGGGATTAATTGCTCGCCAACTATTTACACGTAAGAACTACAAGTAAGATTTTAACTAGCTTAGAGATCTGATTGATTATATAATATATAATAATAACCTTTCTAATTATGTTAGTGTCATATGACAAAGCTTTCATTTATCCTAAGTTGCTGCTAGCATTGAACCTTTCATTAACCTTAGAAATTGAATATTGTCTTATATGTCTTGTACAACGTAAAACAGGTAGTACGATGTATTGTTATCAAACTCAAGTAATTACGGGGTCATGCCAAATGAAAGAAGAGCTTAGCCTTAACATACCTCTTTCTTGAATTATTTGAATGAATCTGCTTTTGTGAAATTTACACCTTGATTCTTTGACGTTAGAATGAAATCATGTTTGCCTCGAACGTTTTCTGATTTCAAAGTTCTTGTTTCTAAACGTTACTGTATTACTACTCTTTGGCAAAATATAAGATTTGTTGCTTCAAGAAAACGTTACTGTGTTGCTACTCTTTGGCTAAATAGAAGATTTGTTGTTTCAAGATTCTTAATCCTTATGAATGAAAATGACTTTCTTTAATGCTTGCTTGTCTGATCAAAAGACAAGATACCTTTTTTTGTATTTTTTAAACAAACCATTAAAATAAGACTTACAAGTCTCATAATTAAGTCTTATTTGGATTATGCTTTAGCCACATGGCTTTAATGACCTATGAGTCATTGTTTAGCCATTGTGTCCTTATGCCGTGTGGCTTTGGGTTATTTAATTAAATTTTGTCCGCTTATTAGTCAATTGGGTAATGTCCTGTTACGCGGTAATTAATCAATTACCCGCATAATTTAAAATTATCACAAATTACTTAAAATTATATTTATTTTATTATTATTATGTTTTTTTAAANGTGTAGTCTTATTAATTTATCCACTTATTAGTTAATCGGGTAATATTTCGTTATCCGATAATTAATCTATTACCCGCATAATTTAAGAATTATCACAATTACTTAAAATTCTAATTATTTTTTTATTATTTTTTTAAAATACTTCTTATATACTTTATATATTATACTACCATGGTCATATGGTACCTTGCATGGTACTAGTTTATAATTATCGGGTATTATCGCTTAACCCGTATTTTATCCCAAATTGGCCACTTTCAACGAAGCCCCTTTTCCCTAATTCGTGCATCCTTTATCCTTCATGGAACTTATTTTTCCCGGTTGTTATAAATAGCTTAAGTACGTCAAGATGATCTCATCCCCGCGTCTACGTTGGTTAACTAAAAACGAAATTGTAACGTACGAAAATGCGAGATGTAACAATAGACTTCCTCTAAATGTCAATTTTTGGTTGGTGAGTTCCACCTCTTCTTGGAATATTACCAAGTCAAGGTTCGAAATGTGTTTGGTTGTTTTATGAGGATGTAGGGAGCCCCATCCCGACTCGTATATATTATGGTTATGCCTACTTAAAGGTTTTGCAGAAAGTATGATGTACATAGTTTTGGGTATGATAAGCCTACGACCTTGTCGACCCCTATGTATATAAACCTTTTTCTAAATTAGTTATGCGAGTTAAGTTTTAAGATTCTTACCCATATTTGGATCTGGCCCGAAATGGTCCATGATAGATTTGATAATAAACAAGGATAAGATATATGGTGTCCGGTTGGGTAGGAATTGATATTATAATAGGTATGGATTGATTGGTCTTTTGTTATGCTAACATCAAGTGTAGATCAAAGATGGTTTGATTTCAGCTTCCAGGAGATCCTGTTTTGGAATGGAAAAGTAGTGCCGCATCGCCTAGAGGTAGATTTATTTTGTATCTCAAGGCAAGGAAGATGATCATAAAAGGCTGTATTTATCACTTGGTTCGAGTTCAGGATGTGGAAGTGGAGTCACCAACTATTCAGTCCATCCGGGGAAGGCGAACGTAGTAGCCGACGCCCTCAGCCGTAGATCTATGGGTAGCTTGCCGTATTTACAGCCAGAAAAGAGGGGAATAGCCCATGAGGTTCATCAACTAGCTAGTCTTGTAGTTCGGTTACAGGACTCGGGTGACGTTGGAATTACTCTTCAGGATACGGCAACATCCTCTTTACTAAGAATTCATGGCGTCCCTTTATCTATTATCTCGGATAGAGGAGCTCAACTTACAGCTAACTTCTGGAGGTCCTTCCAAAAGAGGATTGGAGACTCAAGTAATTCTTAGTACAACATTTCATCACTAGACATATGGACAGGCTGAGTGTACTATTCAAACACTGGAGGATATGTTATGAGCTTATGTAATAGACTTCAAAGGTAGCTAGGATGATCATCTACCATTTATTGAGTTCGCATATAATAATAGTTACCATTCCAGTATTCAAATGGCTCCATACGAAGCTCTTTACGGACGGAAGTGTAGGTCACCTATAGGGTGGTTTGATATTGGAGAATCTGGATTACACGGGCCAGACCTGGCTCAGCAAGCCATTGAAAAGGTAATGTTGATTAGGGATCGACTATTGATAGCTCAAAGTCGTTAGAAGTCATATTCTGACGTGCGGCGACGAGACATAGAGTTCGGGGTTGATGACTGGGTATTCTTAAAGGTGTCACCTATGAAGGGTATGATGAGGTTTGGCAAGAAAGGCAAACTTAGCTCACAGTATATTGGGCTTTATAGGATCATTCGAAAAGTGGGCCAAGTAGCCTATGAGTTAGAATTGCCCTCAGAATTGGAGTATGTCCATCCGGTCTTTCACGTATCTATGTTACGAAAGTGCATTGGCGATCCTACCCTAGTGGTGCCCACGAATGATGTACAGATTAAAGAATACTTATCATACGAGGAAGTTCCGGTTGCCATCCTAGACTGACAAATCCACAAGCTGCAGAATAAGGAGGTAGCCTCCGTGAAAGTACTTTGGAGAAACAACAATGTGGAAGCAATAACTTGGGAGGCTGAGGAAAATATGAAGTCTAGATATCCCTACTTATTTCCTCCTCCAGAGAAAGGTCCGACTAAGACGTCATAATCATAAGGTACGTGTACAAATTCTTTTATTGGCTATTGTCGTTGGTCGTGTGAGGCCATGGTCGTTATTCATAATTGTGGGCTTGTGTGGAGTTGGGTTATTAAGCTTCTACGAAGAGAATTGTTAGTGGTGTTGTTACAAAGGCGACCCTACCAAAGTAATACAGATCACAAGGAGTTGAACATTCGAGGTTGAATGTTTCTAAGGGGGGAAGGATGTTACTTCTTGCGACTTTCGTACGTTAAAATTTTGTTTTCAGTTAATCAACATAGACTCGGGGACGAGATCATCTTTACGTTAACGTACTTACGTTATTTATAACAAGCAATAAATAAGTTTTATGAAGGATAAAGTGGTACACGGATTAAACAAAACGAGTTTCGTTGAAAGTGGCCAATTTGGAATAAAATATAGGTCGAGCGATAATACCCGATAATAATGAACTAGTATCATGCAAGGTACCATATGACCACGGTAGTCTAATGTATAAAGTATATTAAAAATAAGTTAAATTTTAAGTAATTTGGGGTAATACTTAAATTATGCAGGTAATTGGTTAATTACCGGATAACGGGACATTACCCGATTAACTAATAAGTAGGTAAAAACTTAAAAATCACTCCCCAAACACGTGGCAAGAATCCACCATGTCAAGAATGTGACTAAGAAGTCACTTATGCCTAGGTGGCAACCTAAACATGAATAAAAAATGATGACTAACCAATTATCTGCCAAGATTCAATATGAATCAAAGGAATTCAATGTTATTCTTTCAATTCTTAAGAAGAACCAGAAACGTTTCCTCTCAATTTCAAGGAAACCAAACTTTATTATTTCGTTCCAGAATTTTAGGAACCAGAAAGTATTTTAGTCCATGAATTTCTAAGGGGCAAAGGAAAATTTCGTTCAATCAACGAAGGTATGCCAACGAAATATTATACGTAATTTTTCCTACTCCAGGTATGTTAAGGCCCTTCCTTCTTTCTTTTGGCATGATCCAAATTATACTGAAGAAACGAGCAAGCACACAATTTTCATATATTACTCCATTCATAGAAATAGTAAGGATGTCTATATTCTTGATTCCTCATGAAAAATATTATTATCTTCTGTTCACAGGGTCTCAGAAAAATAAGTATTTGATAAAGTTTATTCAAAAAAGCATTTCTTCTGTATGTGTATGTAAAGTTTATTGGATAAAGTTCCTTTTAATCACTTATTAAGATGTCAACAATGGAAATAAGCTCCTTGATCAGTGTATTAGCGCTTTCTATATTTGTATAAGAACTTGTGTAACATTCTTTGGAAAATGTTTGCTTATTCGTTGTAATGTACTATTAGTCTGCCATGGTCATACATAGCTCCTCGTTTTATATGTTGAGTTAATATGTAGAATAAGAATACATCTACATTAGCTATATGATGGTATAAAGTACCTAAAGACAAAAATGACCTTTAAAATAAGTAATTGGTATATTTCATAATTTCATGCATTTATACATGTACATTGACCCATGATCAGACGGCGTTATATATGCGTATATATATGAATATGGAATATGGGAAAAGGTTACGACATTATATACGCACCATCATCTGATCAGCTGGTATACGTTGATGATTTGCCACAANGAGATGATATGATGGGATGCCCTCAGTGTCTTGATGATATTATGTACACCCATACCTATGCATGTCACGAAATTTATACGCACGTGCATGACATTATAAAAGTTTCAGAATTTACAAAGTTATTCAGATTTAAAGATGTGTTTCCTTATTCCATGTTTCATCTATGTGTTTTATGTACTAATTTTCATGTCTTACATACTTAGTACATTTTTCGTACAGATGTCCTATTTCACGGGGCCTGCATTTCATGCCCGCAGGTGCAGGTAGGCAAGCTGAGTGTACCTCTTCTTAGGATCCCTGATCATTGAGAGTTGGCGTACTTCATTTGATCCGGAGCTGCTTTTGATTTTGGTACGATACGTTTGTGTGTGTATATATATATATATATGGCTATGATGTGGCTCAGTCCCATCTTTGTACAGTTATGTTTCTATTAGAGGTATGTGGACAATATGTCTAGTTGGGTTGTATGTGGCCTTGTCGGCTTTCAGTTTTGGATGTATAGTTGTCTATAGTAGCCTTAATGGCTCGCCCACTTTATTCTGCATGTATACGTACATATGCCTTGATGGAAGGTCTCCTTCACGTATGTTATTTTCGTAATGCAGCAGATATTATTCAGGTTCATATCTTAGACGTATGCTTAGGGGTGTTTGACAGGTAGTACTCAGGCATCCGTCGAGGCCCATCGGTTTGGGTTATGACACAATCAATCCTTACAATGTGGTAAGGACCCCATTTATATAGAAAAATGTGGGATCCTATCATAGTACAAACGCATTTATTACAAAGGTATGGAGATAGGACAGCTAGTCGACGTCATGATGCGGGCTCAGACTAGCTTGACAGACTTTGGGAACTCCCTTCTTTTCCAATATAGCCGTTGGTCTAC